TCAAACTTGAAAATTACCTAAAAAGTACTTGAGATATTTTCTCAAAAATGAAGAAAGTGAACCTGTCACTTAATAGACAATTGACAGGTTTTATTGCAGATGATAAAATTAGAGCCCTTTTTTAAAAAAACAGGATTTTGGAAAGTTTCTATCAACTCCTATTATCTTACAGGTTCCCAGTAGTTAACTTTTTCTGATGAGATTGGTGGTGGTATTATATGATTTGGGATATTGTTTAATGAAAAGAGTCAGCATTTTCAAGACCTGTGGTACTCAGCAAACTAATACTTTACAGATGACCAGTATATGTGATAAAATCAAACATGGGTAGGTAAAGGATCCATTCAAAATACAATGGATGGTAATATATGAAGAGTTGAAAAAGTCTTTGATACAGTTTCAGGTTCCACATCGCAACTAACCTTTAAGAAACTGCCACTTTGTTAAGTTTTGGTATGGGGTCAAAAAAAGAATATCCACAATTAACTAAACAGGCTATTAAAATACTCCTCCCTTTTCCATCTGTCTATCTATATGAGGCTGCATTTTCCTGTATACTTCAACAAAACATGTCAACAGACTGAATGTAGAAGGAGATATGAGAATCCAGCTGTCTGTTAAAATAGATATTAAAGAGATCTGCAAACATGTGAAACAGGGTAATTTTTTTTTGTTTGTTTTAGAAGTTTTATTTTGCAAAAAACATTATATTAACATGTAGCAAGTTTAGTATGTTTGATTACTTGATAAATACTTTTTAAACATCTGTTTGAAATTCTAATATGGTGAATGGCAATAGATAAATAACCCACGCCAATCTAAGTTCTTTTTTTTTTTTAATGTTACGTTAGTCACCATACAGTGACTAACACTATTCACTGTTTGCATATTACACCCAGTGCTCCATGATCCATGCCCTCCTTAAGACCCATCACTTGGCTCACCCTTCCCCCCCCACCCCTCCCCTCTAAAACCTTCAGTTTGTTTCCCGGAGTCCATAGTCTCTCATGGTTCACTCCCCCTCTGTTTCCCTCCCCCCCTTCATTTTTCCCATCCTTCTCCTAATGTCCTCAATGCTATGCCTTATGTTCCACAAGTAAGTGAAACCATATGATAATTGGCTTTCTCTGCTTGACTTATTTCATTTAGCATAATCTCCAGTTCTGTCCATGTTGATGCAAAAGTTGGGTATTCATCCTTTCTGATGCCTGAGTAATATTCCATTGTACAGTCCAAGTTCTTTGGGGTCTTCAGTAATTCTGAAGAGTGCAAAGGAGCCCTGAGATTAAAAAAGTGTATGGAGGGACGTCTGGGTGGCTCAGTTGGTTAAGCATCTGCCTTGGTTCAGGTCATGATCCCAGGGTCCTGGGATCGAATCACCTGTCAGTCTCCCTGCCCAGTAAGAAGCCTGCTTCTTCCTCTCCTCCCTGCTTGTGCTCTCTCTCACTATCTCTGTCTGTTTCTCTCTCTCAAATAAATAAAACCTTAAAAAGAAAAAGTGTATGGATTGAGAAAGTGTATGGATAGAGAATTTAATTTGAGCATATAGTCATGTTCTGGGGTTGGAGAGTATGGTATGCCCTGGCCTCAGGCTTCTTTGGTTTAAGGCTTCTTAGTTCTCAAAAAGGAATTTATATGTACGTTACAGAACTGCTAATTTTTATATTCTTTAAAATGAGATGTCATGATCGATGCCTTTTTAACTCTGTCTTCTAGTACCATAGGTGATATTCAACACCTAAAAATAAACCCAAGTACCCAGTATTATGGGGAAATGTGTACCTCTTTCTCCATCAAACCAGACAGAAACCATAGGAAAAAGTAAAAAACGCATGCTTAGTCTCTCTCCTTTTTATGTTAAATAGAGTTTCTCATTAACACAGAAAGTATAAGACTGATGTGGGAGGAACAATGAGAGGACCCTCTTAACCTTAAACTGGGTGTTGAACAGACCTGGGGAGATGTCACTATTGGCCATACAGCTCAGTGATGTATTCAGCCTGGCCCCATAGTTCTATTCTCTGTTTTAAGACTCTTTTTAGCTCTCATGAGTATTCTCAAACCGAAATATTATTGTAAGGCACCTTTGTTCATTTTGCTAGTGCTTTATCTTCGGACTAAACTGTCAGAGGGACTAGGGTGCATGCAGTTTCTGTCTTAAAGCTATAGGCAGCAAACACCCTGAGTGAACCCCCAGCAGTACCAGTTAAGAAATCATTGAAGGATCAAAACAGATCTCTTAGTTTAGGTGTGTGAAGATTATAATATTTGATACAAGAGACCATATAATTAATTATAAAATGATTCCTTGTTGGCTTTTATATGCAGTAATATTCAATTATAACATTTACATTGTGGATATTGGCCCATTGTTAGGTGGCTAAACTTTATTGTTGTTTTTTCTTTTCTCTTCGTATCTTTATTTGCATGTCCGAAAAGTTACAGTGTCATTCTCACTATACTAATTCAGAATGTTGCCTCAAAAGTGGTTGGTCTTTTTTTTTTTTAACCCTTTATCAGATAGATCACTTGTGAATATCTCTTCCAATGAAGGAGGCTACCTTTTAGTTCCATTGATTGTTTCCTTTGCTGTGCAGAAGCTTTTTATTTTGATAAAATCCCAGTAGTTTATTTTTGCTTTTGCTTCTCTTGCCTTAGGAGACATGTCTAGTAAGAAGTTGCTATGGCCCGTGTCAAAGACGTTGCTGCTTGTGTTCTCCTGTAGGATTTTGATGGCTTCCTGTTTCCAATTGAGGTCTTTCATCCATTTTGGATTTATTTTTGTGTATAGTGTAAGAAAGTGGTCCAGTTGCATTCTTCTGCATGTAGATGTCCAGTTTTCCCAACACCATTTGCTGAAGAGACTTTTTTCCATTGGATTTTCTTTCTTGCATTGTGAAAGATTAGTTGGCCTTATGCTTGTGGGTCTGTTCTGGGTTTTCTATTGTGTTCCGTTGATCTTTGTGTCTGTTTTTGTGTCAGTACCATACTGTTTTGATGATGACAACTTTGTTATAAAGTCCGAAATTGTGTGGACTGTAGCTTTGCTTTTCCCTTTTCAAGATTGCTTTTGCTTATGGGGTCTTTTGTGGTTCCAGATACATTTTAGGATTGTTCTAGCTCTAAAAAATGCTGTTGGTATTTTGATAAGGTTGCATTAAATGTGTAGATTGCTTTGGGTATTATAAACATTTTAACAATATTTGTTCTTCTAATCCATGAGAATGGAAGTGGGAAAATTTTTACAACTTTGTGACTTTATCTAATTTGAAAGCATTCTAAATCATAGAACTTGATGACCTAGTTTCACTCTCTAAACAAGAAACTCACTTGTCTGCTACATGTATGTTTAATACATATTTAAATAATAATACATATTTATATTTAAAGCTAATAATACTAGGAAATCTTCTAATGAGATTTTGGATTTAAAAATGTCTCAGATTAAAGACAAGCTACTGAATGGGAAAAGATATTTCCAGATGACAACTCTGATAAAAGGGTTAGTATCCAAAATATAAAAAGAATGGATACAGCTCAACACCTGAGAAACAAATAATCCAATTTAAAAATGGGTAGAAGACATGAGTAGGCATTTCTCCAAAGAATAGATATGGATGGCCAACAGACACATGGAAAGATATTTAACATCACTCATCATCAGGGAAATCCAAATCAAAACTACAATGAGTTATCGCTTCACACCTGTCAAAAATGTCTAAAACCAAAAATGTAAGAAACGACAAGTGTTGGTGAGGATGCAAAGAAATAAGAACTCTCCCGTGCAGTATTGGTGGGAGTGCAAATTGGTGCAACCACTGTGGGAAACAGTATAGATGTCCTTCAAAAAGTTAAAAATAGAGCTACCCTATGATCCAGGAATCATACTACTGGGTATTTACCCCAAAAATACAAATACACTAATTTAAAGGGATACATGCACCCCTATGTTTATAGCAGCATTATTTACAATAGCCAGAATATGAAAGCAGCTGAGTGGCCATTGATAGATGAATGGATAAAGAAGCTGAGGTGTATATATATATAAACAATGGAATATTAATGTAACCGTAAAAAGAAATTAAATCTTGCCATGTGGAACAACATGAATGGAGTTAGAGGGTATAATGCTAGATGAAATAAGTCAGTCAGAGAAAGACAAATATATGATTTCACTCATGTGGAATTTAAGAAATAAAACAAATGAGCAAAAAAAAAAAAAAAAAGAAAAAGAAAAAGAAACCAAGAAACAGACTCTTAACTATAGAGAACAAACTGATGATTACCAGAGGGGATGGGGTGGAGGGCTGGGGAAAATAGGTAAAGAGAATTAAGAGTACACTTACCATGATGAGCACTGAGCAGTGTATGAAATTATTGAATCGCTGTATTGTATATCTGAAACGCACCTAACACTGTATGTTAACAATACTGGAATTAAAACAATTTTTTTTAAGTCTTAGATTAAAATACTTCCCTTCTAAAAGGCTAGTTGCATGAATATAACCCTTCCTCAACCCTTTTTTCCCTCACCTCCCACTCTACCCCCACCCCCCAAGAAAAGGAAAGCTGTGTTAGGACTTGTTTTTGTGAATACAGATTACTAGCACACGAAATGGCTGCATGTGTGAATGTTAATGGCACTTTAGTTAATTTGTAGGATTGTTTCTTACATGGCTTTTAAGAATAGGCTCTTCAGAGAAAAACTTGCCTTCTCAAATAATTGTCAAAAAATTGTCCTTCTCAAATAAACCTGATATAGATTTAAATAATGACCATTTTATTCCAAAATCAGCTGAGAACGTAATACTGTTATTCTTAAAGGTTTGAATTTTGGTATTTGTTCGTGAAGATCCTTCCATAAAGGTCTAAAAACACTTCTGGGGATGGTAGTCGCTGAAGATGGTATGTGATCACGGTGTTAACTAGGTCAGGCAGTAGTTAACTTGTTCATGGAACACATCTGTGATTTCTGTCCTTTCCCTTCACCTTGATTACAGAGAGGTACAGAAAGCAGTCAACACCGCCCAGGGATTATTTCAGAGATGGACAGAGCTCCTCCAGGACCCCTCTACGGCAACGAGGGAGGAAATCGACTGGACCACCAATGAGCTGAGGAACAACCTCCGGAGCATAGAGTGGGATCTCGAGGACCTTGACGAGACCATCAATATCCTTTTTCATGGTGCCTGTGCCTTTGGGGTCAACAGAAAAGTGAACATGTTTTTATCCTGATGTCTCAAGTACATTGATTAGATTCTTTCTTTATAATCGATTGATAGTACTCTTTTTTTTTTAAGATTTTATTTATTTATTTGACAGAGAGAGATCACAAGTAGGCAGAGAGGCAGGCAGAGAGAGAGGAGGAAGCAGGCTCCCTGCCGTGCAGAGAGCCTGATGTGGGGCTCGATCCCGGGACCCTGAGATCGTGACCTGAGCCGAAGGCAGAGGCTTAACCCACTGAGCCACCCAGGCGCCCCGATAGTACTCTTATTTGTATCTTGACACACTTGAAATAATTGCCCAGTAAGCTAAGATGTAGGGCCACCTTCTTCTACAGTGCGTGATAAATCCGGCCACGTGGAGACAGTGTGGTGCAGTGGTTCAGAGCTCGGTCCCTCGAGGCAGACCGTGTGTTCAAGTCCTGGCCACACCAGTTACTAGCCATGTGACTTTGGGCGCCTTGCTCTCTGCTTCAGTTTCCTCTTCAGTAGAAGGTTCGGGTAACAGTGGTACCTATCTCATAGGGTTGGTGTAAGCTGAGCAGGTAAGTGGAGGGCCTGCCATGCAGTGAGCCTCTGGGAGTGTTAGTCATTATTCCGTAGACCAGTGTCCTACAATGTTAACTAGAAACCAAAAGAAAATGCTTTTGTGGACTTTTTCCTGTTCAAGAAGTGATGTGTTACAGTGCTAGTGTCCAAGAGAGGCATTTTGTGCCATGAGACTGCATTTAGTAAAAGCAGATCTATTAAGTCATGCTGTTGTTGGGAAATCCACTGACCTGACTGACGAACCAGAGAATGATGGCCTTTTTTCAGCTGGAAAAATTCCAGTTAATCAAAAATTTTGAAGATATGCCAGTTGCATGTTCTCACTTCTCTCTTGTTCTCTCTGTGTGGTCTAGGAAACCAGCTTTTCAGGTTCATATGAAGTTAATAAGTGGAGGGCATTATCTGTTCATATTTCTATTTATCATATGACCCTGGGTACCTTTTAAATTATTTTAAAAAGTATATTGTTAAAAATTAGTGGAACAAAACTTGAGAAGGTGGGATTAAAAACACAGGTACAGGGAGATACCTTGAGATAGAGGGAAGAGAAGAAGATTGATGAGACCGAGAAATTGTGAGAAAAAGAGGACAGAAGTGTTAACAGGTGCATGCACACCTTGGAGATACTGTGGGTTCGTTCCAGACCACCACAGTAAGGTGAGTATCGTGGTCGCAGTAGAGGGACACAAGTGAATTTTTAGGATTTCCTTGTGCATATAAAAGTTATGTTGACACTCTACTGTAGTCTATTCAGTGCACGACAGTATTTTGTCTAAAAACAATGTATATACCTTGATTTAAAAGTACTTTATTGCTGGGGCACCTGGCTGGCTCAGGCAGTAGAGCATGTGACTCTTGATCTCAGGATTTTAAGTTCAAACCCCTGCTGGGTGTAGAGATTACTTTAAAAAAAAAAGTCTTTTAAAAAATACTTTATTGCAGGGCGCCTGGGTGGCTCAGCGGGTTAAGCCGCTGCCTTCGGCTCAGGTCATGATCTCAGGGTCCTGGGATCGAGTCCCGCATCGGGCTCTCTGCTCGGCAGGGAGCCTGCTTCCCTCTCTCTCTCTGCCTGCCTCTCTGTCTACTTGTGATCTCTGTCTGTCAAGTAAATAAATAAAATCTTTAAAAAAAAAAAATACTTTATTGCAAAAAAAGTCTAATCATCATCTGAGCTTTCAGTGAGTCACAATCACAGATCATTATAACAAATATAATAATAAGAAAGCTTGAAATATTGTAAGAATTACCAAAATGTGCAGAGACATGAAGTGAGCAAATGCTCTTGGAAAATGGCGCCCATAGACTTGCTCGACATAGGGTTGCCAGAAGCCTTCCATTTGTAAAACACAGTGTCTGCTAAGTGCAGTAAAACAAGGCACAATATAATGAGGTATGCCTGTGTTTTCATCATTCCTTCAGCAAATAATCGTTGAGTGTACCCTAAGCTGGGTATTTTGTTAGTCTGAGATTGGAGTGATAAAACAGAACAGTTTACCAGCCCTCGTGGAATTCATGGTGGGGAGTAGTGAGTGAAGGGCTCAGGGGACGGGGGGACAGACATTAATCAAATAACAGCACTGTGTATTTGCAGGCAGTAAGAGAAAAGACCAGAGAGCCATGTGAGCGTCTGACACGGGGCAGCGGGACCAGGCTGGGAACGAGATGATTAGGTGAAGCTTCACTGAAGAAACCTTGACCTCTAGAGGAATAAGGAGGGTTAGCTCCCTGACATAAATGAGATGGTCTGGAACAGCAGGTGGAAAAGGCTTGCAAAGTGGTCATGGGAAAGCTGGTCTGGAGTCAGAAAAGAGTCAACAAAGAGTGCTGGCAGGCATCTGGGAGAGCCCGGCTCAGCCATGGTCCGCCCACCATGGATTTGTAACGAACTCAGCAAGGGCTGTTGTTTCTTCAACTGGGTGGGTCTTCTCCACTCCGAGGCACAGAGACCCTCACAGCTGTGGGAGGAGAAGGTTTGAGAATGATGTGTGTCAAGTTGACAGTGCTTTAAGAAACACTGAGACAAATTTTATTGCTTACCTGTGAGAGATTTTGTGGTTTAACATGATGTTTGTTAGGTTTTTAATGATGAAATTGCTTTCCCTTGACTTTTTGACCCACGCATAGTTGAAGCAAATCCTAGAAAATTCAACCTCGATGCAACTGAATTGAGTATAAGAAAAACCTTCATCACAAGTACTCGGCAAGTTGTCAGGGTAAGGAATATCTTACTGTGTTATTTGTGCAAGAAATAGCCACACTTCTCAAAACTCTTTTTCTTAATTGTAAACTAATAGATCAACTTTAAAACGACTTTTTAGTATGAATTAAATGTCAGTTTCCCACCTAATTTCTCTGATTCAAATAAAGAAATTTGTTTTAGTATTGTCTGGTTTATTTTCTTGGAGCAAAAATGAGAGTAGGTAACTGGCTTTGGGAGGTTACTTGTCCATAGCTCCCGTTTCTCCAAACCAGTTATCTTTTTGCCTCTTAATTTCTCGGTATACTGTATTTTTGGACAAAAGGAAGAACTATTGTAGAAACCATTTGGTTTCTTGATTGATTGGTAATCACTTTGCATTGTGAAGAATGACTCTTACCAGGTTTGGATAGCGGCCTCTTCCACCATCTGAATTGCTTCTGGAACTTTTGCAACCCATGTTACTGACATTTCCATATACAACGGCTTGACAGCCTTCCAGGAGCTGTCCAGAGCAAGCATCCATTAGAGTGTAAAACACCAATCCAAGTGAACAAGTCTCTAGTCTCAAATTATAGAGCTAATAGCCTATTGTTTAAAAAAAAAAGAAAAGAAAAACAAGGAGAAAATACCATTTCAGTCAAATTTTGTCTTCTTGAGATATGTTTGTATTTTGAAACTATATGGCTAAGCCATTTGATTAGCATAACTAGATGTAAGAGAACCAGCTGTCTTTAACATATGTACTAGAAAGCAGCTTCCTTGAATAAAGAAACTTGGGATCATACCAGTGCTAACATATGGCTTTTTAGGAGTCATCTCAGGCAGGAACCTTGCTATGTGTTTGCCAAAGACTTTATGTCATGTGATTTCCTTTTGAAATTATTTCAAATCGTAGGTTATCACTGAACTTTAACTAATTCTTGTGTCTTCTTTTATTCAGTAGTTGCCTTTCTCTGTGTGTGTGTATATGTGTGTATAAATTATTGTTAAATAAACCCATAGTTTAGTGGGCCAGTAACCTTTTGGGACGTGGGTACATCATTGATATACACTGAGCATTTGTATTAGTCCTAATTTCTAGCCAATTCAGAATGCTGTTCTGATAAGAAAGCCCCTTTTTCTGGTAAGGTAAGTCCCCAATTATTTATTTTATAAATATAGTTTGCTTTTTTATTTTTTGTAGTAGATTTTCTGAATGACACTTCTGTAGAGGCTGGTATTTAAGTGGCCCCAGGCAGTGAAACACAAATTCCTGAACTCGGTCATTGTGTTTGTTCTTTTCGCAAGATGGTACTTGTAAATTTTGCACATTGAGATTCAGAGCTGAATATATTGAAAGTTAAGTTAGTTGGTATAATTGCAAGTAGAAACTGAAGTTCATTTTCTAATACTTGAAAAAGGTTTTTAAAGTACACTCTTTGAAAGGAGTATTTTTTTTTTTCTTAAATTGTATTTATTAGAGAGAGTGAGAGAGAGCATGAGAGGAGGGTCAGAAGGAGAAGCAGACTCCCGGCTGACTGGGCAGCCTGACTTGGGGCTCGATCCTGGGACTCCAGGATCATGACCTGAGCCGAAGGCAGCTGCTTAACCCACTGAGCCACCCCAGCGCCCCGGAAAGACGTATTCTAAACCACGTCCATATTTCATATGTAGTGTTGCAGTCCTTCTAGAGTTGAGGTCTAAATCATACTTAACTATATAATCCAACTGAGTATTTTAGAGTTTCTAATCATTCTTGTTTTAGTTATGACCCATTTTGGGGAAGCTGTTACTGTTACTGTTTACTAGTTGTAGGTTAGCAGTACCTAACTGAGCTTTTGCTGATCTAATTTCGATAAATTCTAACTGAAGTCCTGTAAGAAGGGAAGGAGGTAGTCATGGTGCTAACTTGGATTTTTTTTTTTTTAAGCACCTTGTGTTGACTGAACATTATTGCATTTAGTTAAGCAGCATTTGTAGACAGAGATCTCTGGGTTCTAACTGGAGGAGACGGAGTGGAGTCAGAGAGTTCGCCGATTTGGGAAATGAGACCTACGACCACGCTTCAATTTGGGATTTGTCTTTCACAAGCTCATGTAAACTCCTCTGTTAACCATTATCAGTAAGTTTTCATTTAGTTGCTGTGAAAGGAATACGTTTGGATCCGCAGCTGATGCCCGCAGTGCTTTCTTCTTCTCAGGCGGGAGAGTCAGTGATACACTGTACATTTGTGACTGTGGTTGTTCTCTCTGAAGAATCACATCTTTCTTTTTTTTTTTTCTTTTCACTTAATGTCCATTGGTTTTGCTTTTAGAAGCCTTCCTTGTTTTAAGCGTCTTGTTTTCCCAAGTGTCTTTTAAGGTTGTACAGTTTAGTAAGTTTTGCTGGCAGTTTTTACTGAAGAAAGCAAAATATTCTTTTGTGTGCATAAATAGCCTTTGATAATTTTGAAGTAATCATTTGTACATTTGTGGGGTTATCGCCACATCAGTGATTTTGCATGGGGAATTTTTCTGTTGCGGAAATCTGTTCCAGGAGTGACCACATTTTCACCTCGTAGGAGAAGGTTTTGCAGCGTGTGGCAGAGGAACTCAGGGAAGGAGCTGTTAGGAGAATGGAGTTCTAGGCTCATCTGTGACCTTAACAAATTTTCATCGTGGCAAGTCACTTAGCTTCTTTGGCTCTGTGTTTTCTTTATCAATTAAATGATCCTCTCAGACATTTTCTTTTTTTTTTTTTCTTAAAGATTTTATTTATTTATTTGACAGACAGAGATCACACGTAGGCAGAGGCAGGCAGAGAGAGAGGAGGAAGCAGGCTCCCCGCTGAGCAGAGAGCCCGATGCGGGGCTCGATCCCAGGACCCTGAGATCATGACCTGAGCTGAAGGCCACCCAGGCGCCCCCTCTTAGACATTTTCTAACGTTAACTTTCAAAGGAATGAGAACCGTACATCCCTGTGGGGAAAGAAACCCAACTTGTTCCAACCCAAGAATTGTTCACTTTTCATTCTAAGTCAAGACAGACATGGTTAACCAACAACGATGAGGTGTGCAGGGTGGGCAGAGAGGACATTGGGATATGAGACCTCTTAGTGGGAAGCACTGGGATATATGTAGTGTTCCATTCACTCAGTCTGGAAGATACCATGACATGGGAACAGGAGCGTAAATGACCAGGACTTGTGTTGGTCTTTTGGCAGATGAACCAAATCATATTGGTAATGCTTCTTGACTGCTGGTTCTAAACTTCATGTGTTAGAAAGACGATTGAGTATGTTTTTGGCCTGATGGGTTATTACAGAATGCTTAAAACTGTTTAGTGACTAAGCTTAAAATTCTTAAATCCTAATTAATCATACCAGAATGTAATCTGTTGCATGGTGTCTCACAACTTTTAGCATCTGTAGAAACACTGCCATCCTGGAAGTGAAAGCCTAGTGCTTTACCTGCTGCCATGGCCACACACAGGGTGCACACCACACAGCTGTTGGAAAAGTCACGGCCATGGGGACTAACCGCCCCTCCCCCCCACATATATTTTATTAAAGTAATGCATGTTCATTAAAGAAAATTAGAAAAATGTTAATAAGAGAAAAAACAGAAAAAGAAACCTAAGCTCAAAATAATAAATACAAAACTTTGTTATGTTTTCTCATAGTCATTTTCTTAACACACGGCAGTTGTGTTTTACATAATTGTGATCATACTGTTAAGCAATCATAAGCATTTTTTAAATTTTACTTTTAAAAATTAAAGGTAATCCATACTTGCTGTTTTTAAAATGCAAGTAATTTTGCTGTATGAGAACGGTGAAAATGCCCCCTGCCCATTCTGTAATTCCACTTCCTAGGAATAATCACTGTTAACAGTTTCATGTATTGTCTGTAGCCATTATATGACCCTGAAATAGACTCTTAAAAGTAATGACATGTTATTCTGGGTTTACTCTAAGTTTCTACTCTCTGTTTGGATCTGCTGCTTATTTCTGTTTTTCTTTCATATTATAAATAATACTGCTGTGTACCTCTTTCCTTTTTTTTTAATTTGGTATATATTTTACTTTTTTTTAAAAGATTTTATTTTTTAAGTGATCTCCACACCCAATGTGGGCTTCTAACTCACAACCCTGAGATCAAGAGTTGCATGTTCTACCAACTCAGCCAGCCAAACACCACATTTGTTTTCTTAAAATAAATCCTCGTAGTGGAATTGCTAGGTCAAGGTCATGAATATTTAATACAAATATCATAGCTCTTGATACAGAATGTCAAGTTTTCTCAGAGTCCAGTTTACCTTCCAGCCATTGTTGAAGAACAGTAGTGTTTTGTTTTGTTTTCCATTTTTATTGAAGTATGACAATGGAGAAAAGTACATGTATCCCAAGTACACAGCGTGAAGAGTTTATAAACTGATCCCAGCCATGGAAATAGCACCTCGAAGCATTCCAGAGCAGTCCGGGCACCCCATGGAAGCTTCCTTTTGCCCCTTTACAGTCTTTAATTCCTGCTCATTGTCCTGACTTCTAACAGCAAAAACACATTCTACAGCTGAAGTTCAAAGTTTACTTGAACTTTGGTTACTTTTTCCATACACATGTGTTGATATTTTCATTATGCAAATAATGTTCATTGTTTTGAAAAAAGGCTTATAAAATGTATTAAGTGCATTTTTATTTTTTTTAAAGATTTTATTTATTTGACAGAGATCACAAGTAGGCAGAGAGGCAGGCAGAGAGAGAGAGAGGAAGGGAAGCAAGCTCCCTGCTGAGCAGAGAGCCCAATGCGGAGCTCGATCCCAGGACCTTGGGATCATGACCTGAGCCGAAGGCAGAGGTTTTAACCCACTGAGCCACTCAGGTGCCCCTTAAGTGCATTTTTTTTTTTTTAAAGATTTTATTTATTTATTTGACAGAGAGAGATCACAAGTAGGCAGAGAGAGAGAGAGGAGGAAGCAGGCTCCCTGCTTAGCAGAGAGCCCGATGCGGGGCTCGATCCCAGGACCCCGGGATCATGACCTGAGCCGAAGGCAGAGGCTTTAACCCACTGAGCCACCCAGGCGCCCCCCTTAAGTGCATTTTTAAAGCATCTGTTATCCAAGCCAATAAACATTTCAGATATTTGCTCTGCAAAGTTAGTAATACGTATAGGATTGTACTGTTATTATTATTTGACTAATTCAGAATGTCATCTTAAACTCTAGTTGGTTATTGGGAGCATGCAGTCTAGGAGATACTTACTAGGTGACAGGCTCACTTCCGGGCTTCTAGAATCTAGACCAGAGCAGCTCCAACTTCATAAGACTCACCCAGGGACTTGCTAGCTGACTTTAGAGTCTGCCTGAATAGATCTGGGTGGGGTCCAGGGACCTGCATTTTTTCTTTTTTTTAAGATTTTATTTATTTGAGAGAGAGTGCCGTTGCAAGCGGGGTGGGGGTGGCAGAGGGAGAGGAAGGGAAAGAATCTCAAGCAGACTCTGAGCGCAGAGCCCTTGGGGCTCAATGTCACGACCCTGAGATCATGTCCTGAGCCAAAACCAAGAGTCCGACACTTAACCAGCTGGGCCACCCAGGCGTCCAAGAGACCTGCGTTTCACCTCCTGTGACTGAATCAAGCAAATCTCACACATTTAAGAACTCTGGCTTGTATAACTGATTTCCCTTTGTTTTAAATATATCAGTATCTAGGGCGCCTGGGTGGCTCAGTGGGTTAAGCCTCTGCCTTCAGCTCAGGTCATGATCTCAGGGTTCTGGGATTGAGCCCCGCATCGGGCGCTCTGCTCAGCAGGGGGCCTGCCCCCCCCCCCCCCGCCCCCCGCGTGGCAACCCCCCCCGCCTGCCTCTCTGCCTACTTGTGTACTCTGTCAAATAAATAAATTAAAAATATATATATATTTAAAAAATATATACCAGTATCTATTTCTTTGTTTTTACAATGAATACTTTCTTTTACTAAGTATATTTTTCTCGGTGTCTGTGGATGGGCTTTTATTTTTTATCTTTTGAAGTTTGAATGAATGAAATAGGGAGAGAATCCTATTTCTGGGTCAGTTGGACCTTAGACAGAGCAACCCTCAGATGCGCTGCCCACCCAGGGTCATTTTCAAGGGCTCAGGCACCCTCTTGTTGAAGGCCCCCAACCGCAGGGAGCTCGCTCCTTCGGCAGGCGGCCTTTCTTACCTGGGGCAGCACTGGTACTTTGCGACAGGTTATAGGAAAATGATCGCTCTACCTTTGCTCTGCTTGATTAACACTTTTTTCTACAGAAACACCAAAGTGAGCTTCTAAAAACATGAACCAGAATACTCCATGGCCCTGCTAAAAATGCCTTAAGGCCTTCCCATTGCCTTTGCACAGGGCCTGCGATCCATGTAATAACATATTTACATTTTTTAAAGGATGATTAGAAAATACACAAGAGTATATGACAGGGACTGAACACTTAATATCTACTCCTTTACAAATAAAGTTTTCCAGCCCCTGCCTCAGGATAAAATCTAAGCCTCCTGAAGCCTCCTCCCCACCGCCCCCCATATGTTTGGCCAACCTTCCCTTCTTCCTCCACCCCTGAACACACAGTTGGCTCCTTCAGCCTTTCTGGCCTGCCTTCTCCAGAGCTAAAGGCACTGAGCTTTTTCCTACCTCTGGGCTTTTGTACTTGCTGTTCCCTTTGCCTGGAATTCTCAGCCTTTAGCTCTTTCTGTTGCTGGCTCATTCTTGCCCTTCAGATCTCCATTCCAGTGTAACCCCCAACCTTCTAAAGTGGTGTCCATCACCCATGCAATTCAGTCCTTGTCTATTCCCTTCCTTCCCAGCACCTTGTTGACGTGTCTGTGGGATTACTGTTTGCCCCTTGTCCACCGCAGTACCCGCTCCGCACGGGCAGACGCCTTCCCTTGCTCATGGTACCATGTGGGTGCATAGTAGGCTTTAGTGAGCATTTGCCAAACATAGAAACGGGTGCTTGGAAAGCTGAAGCAAGGTGGTCGTGATTCAGACTCACCACAGTAGGAATCACGAAAACTGGCACTGTTCGATCTGCTGTTCACCTGTCACGGGGCTTGGAAGAAGTTTCTAAGAGCCTAATACCTCAACATTTGCATCTATAAAATAGCCTACTTGCCAACAGAAAATTATAAAGTATTTTGGCAGCCTTTCTTTTTTTTTTTTCCAAAGAAAATTTGTATTACAGTAATCATGTATTCAGTTCTAATCATTTTAAAGTATATTGGGTTGGGGTTAAATATAAGGAAAAGTGTTCATATTTAATAAAGTGTTTTGCTTCAAGTTAAGTAATGGGTCCATTCATTTCTTTCCATACAAGATTATTTTTGGTACTGCTCTAGAAATCCACTCTTGTGTTAGAAATAGTCTATACTGGGGGTGCCTGGCTGCCCCAGTCTGTAAAGCATATGACTTTTATTCTTGGGATTGTGAGTATGAGCCTTGGGTGTAGAGATTATGGGAGGAAAGAAGGAAGGGAGGGAGGAGGGGAGGGGAGGGGAGTCTATACTGCACATGAATCCAACTCAGAAATAAAGTAAGAATACTAGAAAGTGTCCTCTGATGTTTAATGGTAAAAAGACTTGATCCAAAGTGTGTGGTTTTCACGTGTATTCTGTTTGTGAAGAAGCTAGCCCTTGAACACAGACTTCTGTGTTTGTGTCCCAGGATTGCCATTTACTGACTGTGTGACCTTAAGAAAATACCTTAGCCTTTTTAGATCTAAGTCTTCTTACCTGTAAAATGGAAATAATAGCAGCTTCACAGGGTCATTGTGAAAATTCAGTGACAACGTGTGTAAGTGCACAACGGTGTTGCAGCCTCTGGCAGGTACCCAGGAAATAGGAGTTCCCTTCCTCTTTCTTGCTGTTTGAGTTCAGTGTCCAGGAATGTGAGTTTCTCTATTTCCTTTGTTTCTGAGACTTAGAAGCTAAAGAATGTTGTCTTTTTGTTTAAAAAAATTCATAATAATCTATGTGTATTTTGTTAGCCTATAAAACGTTAACCATGATTTTATTTTCACTCGTTTTCTGGTCTTCTCCTCGTCTCGTTAGGACATGAAGGATCAGATGTCGGCTTCATCTGTGCAGGCATTAGCGGAAAGAAAAAATAGACAGGTGAGTAAACTTATGAACGCACAGTATCAACCAAAGAAAATAGCATGGTTAGATATTTGGAATTGAAAAATGCTGACGTCTATGTACCGTGTGTTCACACAGAAGACCTGTACGTGCTGAGTCTGGCGTGAGGCTGGCAGGTGTTGTAAAAGTCTGGTCAGCTTGCCCTGTGCCACGGTGTTGTTTCCCTCCCTCCCTCCCTCACACCCTCTGCTTCTCCCGTCTGGGCCCCCATAGCTCCCTCTGCTTATCCCCATAGGCCTTGCACACAGCCATTCTCTCTGGAAGGTGCTCTGATTGCTTGTCTCCTTTTTCTCTGCTGGACCCCAAGCAGTGAGGGGCAGTTATGTCATGAGCTGGTTTTAAATCTCTAGCTGCTGTTCCATTGCCCGGAGAACTTACTAAACATCTACCGAGTGAAATTTTATGTAAAGACATTGACGGCACCTTCAATTTGTGTTAAATGAGACCTTTCATTGTTTTAAGTACTTTTTAAAGGTGAGGTCCAGTTTTTGTTAGTTATTACAGATAAATTATGAAACCTGATTTTAGAAACCCCAGGGCAGATAATGTCATATCAAAAATAAAAGCTACAGGAGACCAGTCCTTGAATTTAAGTGTCTTTTAAAAATTTTTTTAATTTTTAAATTTTTTTAAAAGATTTTATTTATTTTAGAGAGAGAGAGAGAACGTGAGCAGGGTGGAGAGACGGAGGCAGAGGGAGGAGCAGATTCCCTGCTGAGCAGGGAGCCTGATGTGGGGCTCGATCCCAGGACTCTGAGATTGTGACCTGAGCCGAAACCAAGAGTTGGATGCTTAACTGAGTGAGCCACCCAGGCGCCCCTTAAGTATCTTTTTAAAATTAGACACTTTGGATAGAAATTCCCTTCTGACTGATAAAAATGCTTTTTAAAAAAAATACAACAGTTGCCTAAAATTTAGATTTAACTTCAGGTCTGTTCAGACTCCATCAAGTTACTGATAACCCTTTTAATAGACTATTAAGAAACAGCTCATCATTCTTAACGAGGAATCAGTACATCCTTAATTCAGACCTGCAGGTGTTGACCCATCGCATCCGAAAACAAGTAAGAGATCAAAGAAAGGGAGGGGCTGTCAGGATATCACCTACTTAGTTTTCCTGTTTCCTTTCCCTGCATTTCATTCTCCAAGTCACTGTTGGGGTTTTTCCTTCCTGTCTCCCTCCCTTCCTCTCAGCATTGCAGCGGGGGAAACCCAGGCGCTGCCCCAGCGTATCAGGCACTAACTTTTTTTTTCTTTTTTAAAGATTTTATTTATTTATTTGACAGACAGAGATCACAAGTAGGCAGAGAGGCAGGCAGAGAGGGGGGAAAGCAGTCTCCCCGCCAAGTGGAGAGCCCGATGTGGGGCTCAATCCCAGGATCCTGAGATCATGACCTGAGCCGAAGGCAGAGGCTTAACCCACTGAGCCACCCAGGTGCCCCTTGGGCATTAACTCTTGAAAGGAGCGAGGGCATGGCCACGGCCAGCAGCTCCCTTCTCGTGTCTACTCTCAAAGCAGTTGTGACAGTGACATGGGGAACACCAGGCCTCCGTCACGCTGAACTTGAGTTGTTTTATTCTCCAGATAGTGAAAGTTGAACTACCATAAATAAAAAATGTACCTACACCCTGCCTCTCTGAGTATGGCTTGGGATTTGGTTTTTGGCGTGGAGTGAAAGGACAGATTCCCAGGGAATGGCAGGGCCAGTTTTCTGTGTCCCATGCGAGCAGGCCAAGTCGGCCTCGCTGCTCCGTGCCAGGACGAGGCCCTGTGCTCCAGCCTCTGCTACGCCAGGACTTTCCGCTCTGGCACCTGCACCCAGGCCCTCTCCCTCCTCATTCTATGTAGATAGATTCCCGAAGTCAGACTGGTGACGCCTAGTCTGTTTCACGGTAAAGCATAGATAGCTCTTACCGGCGTGACCTATGTCCGCCTAAGTGCAGACCACAGATAGACTAGAAAGAAGAGCCCCGACTATGACCCCAGGAGCGCACAAGGCTGGTAGAGCCCCCAGTTCTCTGTGGGTAGCCTCGTGATGCACTGTACATAGACTTTGTGACCTTGAAAACATGGTCACTAGGCCTCTGTGTCCTCCACAGAGATTCTTAGAGTCTCTGCCACGGAATGAGCAGGATCTTTTAAACTTGACAGCCTGGTGATCAGGTTGGGCAGAGCCATCTACAAAAGGCCTCGGGTCTGCTTTATGCCAGAGACCATCTCCATCCAGCTTCTTGGCTGGACTGAGGTCCTAGGCTGCTGGCAGCTCTCCGAACTCCCTCAGAACTTGGGCTCTGCATCCTGAGCTTTGCCGAACCCGACCCTGAAGTGTGGCTATTTGACTGAAGTCACCTCCGAATGTCAGACCAGGAGGTCCGTGTCAGTATCGAGGGGCTGTTGAAGAGCTTTGCAGAAAACCAAGTAACCCGTGAGGCTTTTGACAGTTCCAGGGATTAGAAGTACCTGCTAAGAAGATCCGGCTCCTCCACATGGAAGAAGAGTTGTAGCAGCAGCGTCTCTGGTTCTCTGTGCAGGGCTGGCGGGAGCGCTGACCTTGACCACCTGGTCAGACGGGCTCGAGGGGCTCCCGGTCAGAGCCCGCTACCGAGAATGAGCTCTCACATTCCTGGCCGGCCTCTTCATGTAAGGGAGACTTATCCTTTTTCCAGACTTATCCTGTTCTGGCTGCAAACTTCCTTGAATTCATAGTGGAAAACCTGACTCTGGGGAAGAGCTCTGACGTGGGAACCCGCGCTTGCTTGGGTCGTGAGGGCCAGGTGCTCGTTTGCAGCCCCGCCTGTCTCCTAAGCAGCCCCGGCTCCTGTCTGGGACGCCTGCAGCCTTTTAGACCAGCCGACGGGCACTGGGATTGACTCATGGGTTCAGGTGAACAGACATTGGTGATTCTGGCGCCTTCTGGTACGTGAGGGGCTGTGACTTGGCTCGTCATTCCAGGGAGCTCTTCCCACCTCCTTCCAAAGAAATGCAGAAACTTTCCCGGCTTATTCTTGAATGAAAAGGGCTCTTGATCTGTGGAGTCAGATTAGAACCTCTGGGTCTCTGATGAACCTCCGAGGGTGCTAGGAGAGCTGGCCTGGGGGCGCCTGGGTGGCTCAGTAGGTTAAGCCTCTGCCTTCAGCTCAGGTCATGATCCCAGGGTCCTGGGATCGAGTCCTGAGGTCAGGCTCTCTGCTCAGCAGGGAACCTGCTTCCCTTCCTTTCTCTCTGCCTGCCTCTCTGCCTACTTGTGATCTGTCAAATAAAAAATAAAATCTTAAAAATAAAAATTTAGAGCTGGCCTGAAGAGACCAAGTGCTTTTAGATCGTAAAGCGGTATACAGATGGGTGTTTGTTGATTTTACGTTGATCTTTACCCGTGTTTGCACGGGACAGAGCCCATTTCTGAGTCACCCTGGGAGAGCTGGGAGGCAGCGGGTGCCCTTCCTGGCATTCCTGAGATTGCGCCACGCAGACAGCAGCCCACACCACTCACTGCACAAGGGCCGACCCGGTGGAAAGTGCGCCGTGAGCAGCGTGTGAACTCGTCGAGTCCCTGTGCCAGAGCGTTGGTTCAGAAAGTAATGGCTTGTTTCCCCGGGCCCGGCTGCCCCCTGCTCCGCTCTCGCAGGCACTCCTTGGGGACAGTGGTGGCCAGAACTGGAGCACGGGAACGACAGACAAATACGGGCGCCTCGACCGCGAGCTCCAGTTAGCCAACTCCCATTTCATCGAGGAGCAGCAGGTGCAGCAACAGGTACCCCAGAAGCCGAGGGTGGGGGGCGGGGCACTCCCCTCTGTCCCCCCAGCCTGGGGGCTTTGTGACCAGTGCCAGTCAGGGGGACCGCGCTCGCCCTGCAGCTGCCTGTTTCCATGTGCACAGCGGTTTTGTAGATGAAGGGTTTTTAAAACCTCCTTCAGAGCACGACCTTTTCAAGAGAACCAAGCTTAGTTAGATCTCTTCGGGAAGGCAGACCAGACATCCAAACCTACAGACAAGGCATTGACTCAAAAACAAAAACAAGAACACAGAAAGCACCCCAGCAGCCTCTTCCCCCGCCTCCACTTGTATGCTCAGTTTTTTGTTCATCTCAACAAAGGCACTTTCAGAAAAACTGAGTCCTTGTTTTTTCATCGCAAATTATTGTTGGTTCCATTATATGTAGAAATAGATTGCGTTGGTGGAGGTTATAGGGTAGAAGGAAAGGAAGGTTGATTATGTTTACATCGTGGCTTTTGATTTGTGTTGTGGTTTAAAAAGGAAGCTGATAATAATGTATCTGGGGATTTGAGGATTATCCATTGAAGCTACTCATTCTTAAATATTACGTTTTACCTATACACCTACGTTTGTGTGTTCTTTTTCCTTTGCGTGTCTGTGTAACCAGTTGTCTACTTAAACTGCTACTAATGAAGCAGATTTTTTTTTAATAAAAAATGAGGAGGCTACACCACAACTAAAAGTAATTATTTATCACTCAGTAGTTGTCCTTGGCGCAGCTTACTGCCACGGGGCTTCCCTAGTTTGTCCTTGTGGAGGAGGGAAAGGACTGTGTATGCAGTTCTCCTGCATTCACAGATTAGCCGGCCTCTCTCTTGTAGTCAGGCTGAGGTAGTCTGTTGTGGTTGAGACCTTGACCCTGGCAGTGGGCTTCCTCTCCCCAGCATCCCATGTCTCAGTGGTCACTGCACAGGTGCTTCTGACCCTGGCTTATTCCTGCATCGGACTTGAGCCAACCAGAGTAACTCGCTCTTGGTGGTTTCCGGGCCTGCTGACTGCTCACAAGTTGGATCAGCAGGAAATATCAGTAGCTTGACAACCCAGCCTTTTGAGCAGTGTGTTCTCAGAGGCGATGGTCTGGTCCTTCGATTTCTGGGCTTTGCTTCTGAATGAGAATTGTCCCAAGTTGGCAAAGAAGCTAGCAGCTGCTAGAGTACTGGGCTTGGAACCAGGTAAGATGGATTTTAATTGCTTATTTCCTATTTCTCTGGCACCAGTTGATCGTGGAACAGCAGGATGAGCAGTTGGAGCTGGTCTCTGGCAGCATCGGGGTGCTGAAGAACATGTCCCAGCGCATTGGAGGGGAGCTGGAGGAGCAGGCCGTGTGAGTGTGACACGCCCCCTCTCGCTGCAGTGAAATGGAGGGGCAGAGCCGTCTTAGGAGACCCCTAAAAAGCCTGACAGTTAGTTACATGGCTAGTAAACCCCAAGGCTGTTTTAATTATCTAGCAGCATCTCTACTCTGTCTTCCAGACTAGCCTCCCCCAAAGAAGCACATTTATCAGATAAAATTTTGAACAGGGTTTGGGCAAAGTTATTTTCATGATGATTTTTACACCCTGCAAAAGCAGATACAGCTTCCTCTGAGCAGATTCTCAGGGTGTTGTGATGGATGGGAACACGAGACAGATATGGCTGTGTAACCTCCCTGGAGATTTGGATCCCGAAGAGGATAGGACAGGAGCTCACTTTCCTCTGTCATCCTGTGACTCTCCTCCTCTGTCAAACATCTTAAGCTTTAACTTAACAAAGAAAAGTTTTTAAATTTAACTTTGATTAATAAAAAAAACTTCCCTCTCAAAAATAAAAAGTAAAAACAAAGCAGATGAAAACATAGCTGAGTTTCTTTGTTTTTTCCTTCAGCACAGTCCCCTTCTGTGCTCAGAAGTAGGACACCAAAAGCATCCTTAAATGCTTTCATTCCACAAATTTCTTTCTGAAAAAATAAGACCATCTACGAGGATATTGCAGAACCTCCCCTATCACAGTCTTGAATTCAGCCTTACACATTCATTCTTCAGAAATTCAGACTGGTATCTGTTCTGCTGGGAGGTCCTGGGTACCCACAGAGGAGGGAACAGAACAGACTGTGTCTGCCGTCCGAGTTGACCAGCTACTGCACAGAACAGACCTTCTGCAGACGGTGCAGGTCATTAAGAGGCGCAGAGATGGAAGGGGGAAGGGTGTGGTGCCTTACGAGCCCTCTCTCAGCTCAAGCTGCAGACCTGACTTAGCCCAGGTCCTGGAGAAAATGTTTGGAACTGGAACCTGAAGGATGAGTGGAAGGTGGCTGGGGGAGGGGTGGGGAGGGTCGCCCGGGGGTTAGAGAGTGAGAGAGTGCATGGGATGGAAAGGTCTGGTGTGTGTTGACAAAGGGGGGTTGCAGAAGTCAAGACAGGGTGGCTGAGCACAGAGCAGGGAGGCCTTTGAAGCCCCATTAAGGGATTAGGTTAGAACTTTCTCTCCTGAGGGTGATGGGAAACCAGGAAGGTTATGTTGGGACTAACGCCATGGACAGGTTTACATTTGGGGCAGACCCATCTAGCTGTGGTTTGGATGACAGACGGCAGTGGAGCCAGACCGGAGGCAGGGAGACCAGGGGGAAGCTCTAAGAGTGGGAGTCTAGGCATGCGTGTTGAATTTCTAAAATGCATTGTTCCCCTAAAATTTCAGTTTGTGGGTGGAGAAGGACTAGTTGCCTGACTCCTCCTTGAGGTTCAGTAGATGGTAGAGAAGCCTGGCAGACTTCAGTTAAAGATGGTGACTTGAACACCGAACACACCCTTGATGTCGCTCCTTCCCGACAGCCCGCTAAGGCACTAGCAGAGGGAGCTTTTTAAAAAACTGTCATAAGACCTGTGGGGACATAGGGTATGAAATAAGAAACAGTAACCATAACATTTTAGGTCCTGGAAAGTAGGAAAATGAATGGCTACTGACTCAACAGACCAGAGAAAGCTGAATCCTCCGCCAGCCACAGGGGGCGCCAAGGAGCAGAGAGTTCCTGCCTCGTGGCAGTGTGAGCCGTGAAGGGCGCGCTCATCACGTGGTGACACGGTCCTACTGGAAGGAAGGGGGATGAGTGGTGGGATGGATGCAGAGATGAGGAAAGAGGTGGGCGCAGAGCTAAGCCCTAGCTTTTCTAGAGTCGAGTCGGTAGGACAGGATTCTGGTGTGAGTGTGTTACTTGAACGCATGGAGAAAGCACCCCAGGGGTAGTGGGAGGGGTTAGCGGTAGTTGTCCAAGGGGACGGGAAACAGCCGTGTTTTTTGTTTTTTATAAAAAGCCTGAACATGCTATTTAGCTCTTTAAGCTGTGTCTCACTTTGGTAAAAATAATAGGTAAATTAAAAGGAAAGCCCCTGAGTCTTGGATTTTGACCTCTGTCCTCCAGCACGGTGGCCACTGGCAGCTGTGGCCAGTGATGACATAAAATGTGGCCAGTCTGAACACAGATGTGCCCCGAGTATAAAGGCACATCAAGTTTTGAAGACTTCCTGTGGAAAAAAAGTAGCATGGCTTGTGATAGATTTTTCTTAATATTAATTACATGTTGGAATGATAACATTTGGGATATATGAACCCAAAAAACCAGATTATTAAAATTAATTTCATCTTTTTGTTTCAAATGTGGCTACTAGCAAATATTAAATAGCTTATCGGACTTACAGTCTGTTTCTTTCGGACAGCACCGAGTCAGATCTGGGCTAGAAACCTAGTTTAGTGGGTGTCCTCGGGCTGGAGATTGAGTGACTGGCCTTTTTGTCCTCAGTAGGAAAAGTCGTGCCCGGCATACAAGGGTGGCTCTTGTTTTCCAGCATTTGGCCCTGCCTGGGTCGGTCTGCAGCTGCAGCCAAGATGCCACCAGGACCTTAGATGAGCTAATAGTGTGTTAATTTGAAATTTCAGGTAAGGGACAAAGATCTGTTTATTTAGTTGTCAACATGGAGTTTATTTAATAATTGACTTAATGAGGAGTTGGTTGTCCCGAATCCTGCGGGCAGTCAGGTGCCTCATGTGGGCACAGACCAAGCCCAGTCATTTCTAGCTGCCACTGATGCTCCTAGGGTAATAAGGCCTTTTTAATAAGACCTCTGCTACTGATTGGTGTGTTCGGTTCCATACTTGGAATAATCATATGTTCACCGCAAGTTGAAAAGTCTGGAATGTTTTTTTTTTTTAATTAACATAAAATGTATTATTATTAGGGGTACAGGTCTGTGAATCACCAGGTTTACACACTTCACAGCACTCACCATAGCACATACCCTTCCCCAATGTCCATAACCCAACCACCCTCTCCCTATCCCCCTTCCCCCGGCAACCCTCAGTTTGTTTTGTGAGATTAAGAGTCTCTTATGGTTTGTCTCCCTCCCAATCCCATCTTGTTTCATTTATTCTTTTCCTACCCCCCAAATCCCCCATGTGGCATCTCCACTTCCTCATATCAGGGAGATCACATGATAGTTGTCTTTCTCCGACCGGAAAAGTCTGGAATGTCTTGTCATTTATGAAACACCGCTGGAGTTAGAGTATTCTGATGTTTTCTTTCCCAGCTGCAGCTTGGACAGCCAATAGTATTTGCTTCCTGGAGCCACTTCTCTTAGCAGGCAAACACCGACTCCTCTGTGGGTATAGACGAGGAGGGCGCACCTGCAGGAGTGTCAGTCCCAGGGCCTCCCAGCTCTGTGACAAAGCACAGAGCACGGTTAGGGAGATGATTATGTGATTAAAGCGTGTTTAACTCATTGCCATAAAGTGCTTTGTGTTACGCCCTGGTCCCCACAAGACCTTGGCAGGGAAGCTGCCCCATTTTACGGATGCGAAAACAGTCCCAGAGTGGGGTGCCTTGTCAGGGCAGTGAGGTAAGCAAGTGGCAAAGCCTGCCTGTTGGGCTTGGCTTGGCCGCCTCCGCGTATGCTGCCCTGCCCGAGTTTGTGTTACTCTGTGGTCTGGTTCGTGCTGCCTGATCTCCGATCATGAAGTCGAGAGAGTGTTAAAAAAAGAAGTCTTTTAAAAAAAGTTTTCAGCAAGTTCCAACTACGAAGAACCTGACCTGAACTGACTGCAGCTATGATCCCTCATGGTTTGCTCTGAGGTGATATTACCATGTTTGATGACGAGGTCTGCCCCCGATCCTGCTTGAGGTTGTTGGCTAATACTCAGCACATGCAACTTAGTACCTTTTTTTTTAATTCCCCCAAATTCAAAAACCTATCTTGTGCTAAGGATTTTGGATAATCGATTGGGGGCTTGAATCCCAAAGTTCCCGGTTTTAGGTTTGCCAAAACGGAGGCATAGATCCTGTTTTAATTCCGTGGCCAATGCATTGCCAAGCCTTTGTGCTGACCTACCCTTTTGGGTCTGCTTCTCTTTCTAGTATGCTGGATGACTTTTCTCATGAGTTGGAGAGCACTCAGTCTCGGCTGGACAATGTGATGAAGAAACTTGCAAAAGTATCTCACATGACCAGTGGTATGTATGGTATTTAAAGCTTAAGAATTCCTACTGAAATCTAGAAACACCGTCTACAGGGTTCTCGTAGGCATGCCCCTTTGGATCTCTCCTGTGGGACATTTTTGGTTCTGCTCTTCGGTCGGAGAAGGAAGACTAGTTTGCACAGGCTTTGTCTGCTGCTTGTGGCTTGAGAAGTGGTCTTTGCGCACCCCCACTGCACAAGGCTGGTGGTGTTGGGTGGCTTTTCTCCTGGCAGATCAACTCTCTTTAGAAAATCCTTTCTTATTTAATTTTATTTTTTCTATTTCCTTGCCAAAATAGGGAACTTATTATAAAATTACTCTTATAAGTAATTGAGCCAGTTACTCTTTTCTTCTGGACTGACTTTCTTTCATTGAGAAACTCCTACCATTTCAGAATAAGGTGGCCTTACAGATCTAATTTAATGGTTTTCATTTAAATCCACAGTGAAATACTCCATCGGGTTCGCAGCAGGATGGGGTGAAGAAATAACAGTTTTCAAATCAGTCACTGTGTAGGAAAATATGTTCCAATGACTCTATTTTTTTTTTTATTGTAACAACCCTTGCTTTCCCTAGTACATTAGAAATAATATGTTTTATTTATTCTTTTTTGAAGATTTTATTTATTTGAGAGAAAGCGAGTGAATGAGACGGAGAGCATGAGCAGGGGGGAGAGGCAGAGGGAGAAGCAGACTCCCCGCTGAGCAGGGAGCCCAACGTGGGGCTCCATTCCAAAACCCCAGGATCATGCCCTGAGCCGAAGGCAGATGCTAAACCAACTGAGCCACCCAGGCATCCCAGAAATAGTGTATTTTAAATTAAAGAAAATCCAGTTATCTCCTTTCTTCTTTCGTTGGCTGGAGTGGCCTGGTGAAGGGGGGACCTGAGCTGCTCCTTGAGCTGATGTAGCTGTTTTTGAACCAGAGCTCCCAGCTCCCCCACCGGAATCCCCTCACCTCTTTCTTGACACATCTTTCTTTGGGTTTTCTCCCCTCAGGTCTGTGCTATGGGGTCTGATAGTTTGGACTTTTGAGCTGAGACTTAAATACAAATGTGTATTTGCTTTCTAGCACTTCAACTCATAGTCAGGTTATAGAACAGTCGTCTGGGGCTCAGCTTCTTATCTGGAAAATAATAGGTTGATGCCTTCATCTCCAGATCACTGTGAAGATTAAATGAAGTAACAGTAGTTAATCTGCAAGTGTTTAACAGTGTCTCCCATGTATTAGTACTTACCAAATGTTTGTGTTTTAAAAAAATACCTAGGCAGGTGGAATATGGCCCTGCAGGGCAAAAGACCTGTTAGAGACAAAACAGAGGAAAGCTGGTGGCCAGACTTCCTTCTTTCTTTCTCTCCAGGGACAAATACCTTTATGCTTCTAGCAAGTCATTGCCGGAAGCAGGCGCCCCCTTAGTTCATCATTCACACACTTCAGAGAAAGTTTCGCAAAGCTGCCTTCCTTACTGCTCTGTGTTCTCTCCTCTCCCACCTTCACCCCTCTACTTAAAAAAAAAAAAAAAAAGTTAATGAACTATTATATAACCAGTTGCAACACCAGACCTCTCACTAGTGTATGTATTAGTCACAAAGTCAAGTAGCTACTTCAGCACCAGTTTTGTCTGGGGAAGAGCAAAGAACAAAGATGCACTGTGTCTTTGTTTCACAGCATTCCGGGTATGAATAATTTAGAAAAGTACTTGCATTGTGATAAGCTGTTCAGTGTGTATAAATAGCACTGAGCCTTGTTTATGCTTTATTCTACTTTATCCTGAAAGAAAAGTTTGGGGAGCAAAGTGGGGACTTCAATTATGTTTGTCTAAAAGAAAGAGCCAGAAAACAGAGCATTCAGCCTGAAAGGCCCTTCAGTTTGGACAGCTCGCCTGGGGTTTTCATTTTAATCTTTGCTCGCTCCCAAAAGAAAGCTTGCTCAGGGACCTCCTGCGTGGTGGTGCTGGCTTCAGTTTGACAACAAGGCAGTTTGTATTTGTCTCTTGTTCTCCAAAACTTTGGGGCAGGTTGACTACCTTTTCATCTGTCCTTGAAGTGTAGTAAGACACACGGACGTTCGACGAGGCGGTCACTGAGCACACACAGGGCAGCTGCCCTCCCCGTGGCTGGCTGTTCCACGGGCCGAGGACAGCCAAGATGCCGCACCTGCCTTTCCAAGTGACCCAAGGAAAGTTTATTCTTTTGAGTAGATACGGAGGTTTTCTTCCCCTCACATTCCAAAATTCCGTTATCTTTTCCCTTTAGGGGAGGAAAATATTCTGGAAGGGGGGGGGAAAAAACCCTGCCGTTGGAGTTCTCTTTGTTCCTCTCTGACTTTTTGAGGCAGGTCTTGAACTTGCCAAGCTGGTTAGGCTTTTCACTTGAAAGCACAGAAGCCTTTGTGGTTAGGACTCACCCCTTCTGGGGAGAAGTCAGCTGGAGTAACGGCTCCCAGAGCTTTCCTGGTTCAGGCTAACCCAGCAGCAGCTTTCCACTACAGAGGAAGGTGGCTTGGAACAGAGTTCTGGGTTGTGCTGGCTCGTGTGACCCAACTTCTTGATGAAAACCCCCGGTTCAATGCAGTTGTGGAAGAGAAAATGATTGGGGGTGGGAGGGGATTGGGTAGAGGCTGGTGGAGAGCCAGAAAGTGGAAAACTGGTTCAGTATCGGGAATCTGGGTTTGAGATGCAGGATGGGGAGCGGTGCAGGGATCAGTATGAGGCTGGGGGGTAGGAGTGGTGAGGAAGCAGTTACCTTGACTGTTTTGTCCTGGAGGAATACTGACTAATAATTTTAATGAGAGGGTTTTTTAAACATCATAAACATTTTTAAATAGATGAAAAAATGCTAGATACTCAAGTTTTCTTGGCCAGTGAAGCGATAGATTAAAAATATTTTCTGAGGGACACCTGGGCGGCTCAGTTGGTTAAGTGGCTGCCTTCGGCTCAGGTCATGATCCCAGCGTCAAGGGATTGAGTCCCGCATCGGGCTCCTTGCTCAGCGGGGAGCCTGCTTCTCCCTCTGCTTCTGCTGCCACTCTGCCTGCCTGTGCTCTCTCTGTTTCTCTCTCTCTCTCTCTGACAAATAAATAAATAAATAAATAAAATCTTTAAAAATATATATATTTTCTGAGTAGGCTGATTCTGCCTCCCATGCCCATTCAACTAGCCCCCTGTCAGGTAAGGAACCGACAGACTTGGGGTCTTTGCCCTGATCACACTTACTCGTGAGTTTGTAGCACGTCTGAAGTAGAACAAGGTGGCTGGCACTGAGATGATACTTGCTTTGCTTACTGCCACTTGGTGGCTGGCTGTTGGCTGGTTCTAAGAGTCTGCTCTCCATGACGTTTAAATAATTTAAGTGCTCGGTCTGTGGACTTAGCAACGCTTTGTAGCAAGTTTGGCAATTTGTTTTCCTAGATTCAGACCTTTGTATAATGTGATTCTTGATAACTAGGGTGTGCCACAGTCTGCAGGCTCTCCAGTAACCTTCTGATGAATCAGTATGACTTTATGTTTAAACCGAGTGGTCTTTTCTAGCTGTTGAACTGCATTTTCATAGGCCCATGAAATCCTTTTCTCTCAGTCTGACCCTTCGTGGAAAATGCAGGACTCGTCTGCAGAAAGACCGTGTGTTCTTTCTACACCTGCACAAGTGAACGAGGCATCCTGGCAATGGCAGCATCTTGGGCCCCACGCCCGGCCCGGCCCAGAGTGTGTGAGGCTGTTCGTGTTCACACTCACAGAGCCCGGCCAGGCAGCTGCTGCGCAGTGTGAGGGCCCCGCACCCAGGGTTGTGGGTGCAGCTGGGGCTCCCCTGGGGCTTCCCTGGGGCTCTCCTGCCCCCTCCTGCCCCTCGAGCTTCCTTGCTCTCGCCGTTTAGTTGGACTCCAGCCACTTAGCTTCCAGTGCTTGTCTTCAGGCGTCGAGAGGGCAGAATGTTTCAGGGAAGACATTCCGCTTTCATTGTCAGGCAGGCTGTGCCGGTTGTTGAAGTGATCTTACTCCTTTCCTGACCGGCTGTGGGGCAATGTGGATCGTACTCTTGATCCCAGAGTTTGCTTTCTCAGCTCCTCATTTCCTGAAGTGACCAGCAGGCGCTTCTGTCCTCTGTCCACCCTCCCCTAGTGCTCATTGAACAAAGAACATGATTCCTGTTGAATAAAATGATTTCACTTCGGTGGGAGATGAAAGCAGACGGGCTTTGGTCTGTAAGGCCGATGCCAGCCGCCTCCCGCAGACACGGTGCCCCCAAGCAGCAGCAAACCGAGAGCCAGAGTCTAACTCACGGCTTGAGATGCGAAGCACGCACTTAGAAGCCCCTTTTCAGGAGACGGGCGAGCCGTGGATGCACACACGGGCAGGCCCCCCCGGGCAGGCTCCGGAGCCTCAGTGCGCTCTGCCGCAGGGCCTTGCCTGTGGCTGTACCTTGGGGAGTGCAGCGTCACGAGCGCTAATCCTCCTGTCCTGCCTTCCAGATCGGCGCCAGTGGTGTGCCATCGCCATCCTCTTCGTGGTCCTGCTGGTCGTGCTGGTCTTCTTCTTAGTGCTGTGACGGTGGCCCCGCGCGGCTCCTGCGCACGGACCCCGGGGGAGGCGGGCAGCAGCGCCCCGCGTTGCCGTCTCCTCACACTCCTGTCTGGAAAACACAGCCTGCACTGACCTCCCTCCTCGCGACCCCGCCACGGAGACAGCGGCGCTGCCCCGGCGCTGCCCCGGCGCTGGCAGGGCGCTGGGAAGAGGAGGCGGACGACTGTGTGCGTCCGGCACCGCCTGTCCTGAGGACGGCTCGCCGCTGCTTTGCCTCCGGGGCCCGGGCCCCCAGGACAGCCTCTGAGGAATCCAGGAAAGTTCGCGACTCAACTAGCGCTTGCTGTTGCTCATTCCATCCATCTCTGGCCACTCCTTCCCCCGCCCAGACAGCACACCTGTGCCCTCCGGGACCGCGATGGCCGCACCGGCTCCCGGGCGGGTCTCCTCTCCCGTGGCGCCAGCGGCCCCGCGGCCCGTGGCCCCCCCCCCGAGCTGGTTGCTATTGGGGACACAAGGCCCAGAAGCAGTTTGTGACAGAAAACGCAGTGGTCCATTTTTCAGGGATAAGTGCTGGGATAAAATTGCTTTTCCAGGCTCATTATTCTGTGGTAGAAACAACTAATGGAAAATAATGGAAAGCACAAGGCTTTGGGGGTGCCGACAGCTGGTGGCCTGAACCAAAAGGAGGAGGGGGCAGCGGGACCCAGGGTTTGCACAGCTGAGGGGAGGGTGGACGAGGTTACTGGAGGCCAGAGCTTTGCCAGATTCGTGTCACTACCCTGGGGCTGCTTGTGTTTCTAGGACGCCCCTTACCTGTACGGCTGCTGCGCAGCTCAGCCGCTCGCTTGGATGGTCTGGACCCAGGGCCGGTCTGGCGGCCGGTCAGGTCATTGCTGTGGCACTCTGCGTGGGGGGGAGGGGCGGTTAGTACACTGGCAGGTACAGCGGCACTCACTCAGAAACCGTAATGACCAAAAAGGCTAGTTCTGGACCAGATTTCTCTTGACCTGGGAGGAATGGCAAGAATGGCTGTAGGTTAACTTGGGTGGGGTTTTTTCCCCCCTGAGATGACACCTCAGTTTTTTTTATTACCCATTCAAATAACTGAGCCAATTCAAATCTGAAGAACGGATGTTTTAATTGAGTTTTAGTAGCTGAAACTGCTGAGATGCTAAACTTCAAGCTTCCGATGACTTCTTAAACGCCTCCAGCGTCCTGGTGTCTGTAGGATATTTTTATCACCTCCCCGATGCCGTCACCGGTATAGAGCGCCAGCCGACCCGGAGCCTGGCGGCAGAGGCCACGCTCTCCCCACCACCTTCTGCACTTGGAAAGCACGGCAACGTCTGGATAGAGCTCTAGCTTTGACTTCCTGTTTCCTCATTTTATTGGGGCCCATTCCTCGGCACATTTTTTTTTTTCCTTTTTCCCTTTTTTCATGTTTTGTCTGTATTTCTTGGGGGTATTTTTGCTTATTTGCTTTGGGCTTTTCCCCCCCTTTTTTGTGATTTGCAATGATGTACTTGCCCAGCTGACTTATGAATTGCACTTTTTAATAAATATTTGTAACAGTTTTTTAAAGAAGGGTATTTTCTCATGGTTAGGATCACGGTAGGTAAGGAAATCTGCCTCTTGCTGAAAGCTAAAAGCAGATTTTTAAAACTAAAAGGATGGCTGACATCCACGTTTACACTCTATTTGATATATAAATAAGTTATTTTTTTCATATTAGCAAAAAATCCCACAAGATTACTACAAAGGGCTTCAGACATAGGCTACTACATTATTTGTTTTATAAGTTTTGAGACTCATTCAAATAGTTTTCTCTAAACTTAGAACAGGGATGGTCCTTAGATTTGCATTAAAATGAACAGGTCTTTGTCCACTGTACATGGGGACCTTGTCTCAGTACTGTAATCCACACTCCGCGCTACAAGAGCGGCTGGCAGCCTAATGACCTGTATGATCATGCCATCCAAAAGCCGTGCTCTTCTCCTGCTAATACCAGGTTTACTGTGCCCCGCACCACTGTCACGGGTGTCCTTGGGGCCTGTCGGGAGCGTGCCTGGTCATTAATGGGCAAGATGCTTCCTGAGGTCGGCGGGCCAAGTGTTGTGACCCGGGTAATTACTAAATGTCGGGAGAGATTTGGAATTGGCGCGAGGACCTCACTTGATTTCAAATGTTTGCTAAGCAGTGGCTATTGAAGACCAGACTCCCGCTGAAGCTGGCCAGGGAGGGAGTTCCTTAGGAGGAGAAAGTTTACTTCAAGATGCGAGCAGTGCCTGCGTTCCCCCGCGGGCGCCCCATCTCTGCGCCTCGCAGGAACCGCTCTTGGACCTGCAGCCCCTTACCGTGATCGTCCGCGTTGGCTCTGCCCCCAGCAGAGCTTCCGGCCCCGCCAGCGTGATCCTGGGTCTGACCCTGTTGTGCCCGAACTGGGCATCGCTGCAGATGTCTCCGCTCAGAATGCAAACGGGGCAGCCCGAGGGAACAAGCCAGGGGCTTAGGTTGATTTTTGAGGACAATTGTTTATTCATCAGCGATCCTAACACTGCCGAGCTTTTTGGGGGGGCACCTGCGTGGTCCCCGTGCCTGTAAAACGGGGAGAGAAGTAGACCCCGGTGACCCTCTGCCCTGCTCAGAGGCACATGCTGTAGCGTGCGGGCTTCTCCCCACAGCCTCGGCGCCCCCACACATGTCATTTCTAAGGAACTGGCGGGATGTGATGGATACAAGAGAGCTCGGCTTACATTTATCGGTTTTTTTGGAAGAAGGTTTTTCTAATCAGCTGATTTGGGGGGACAGGTGGGAATGAAGCATCGAGAGAGTTTGCCAGAGTGGGGATCCAGCTGGAAAACCAAAATACCTTTCATTTTCAGTCCCGAGTTTCCATCTCGCCTTTGTGCGGACCGCGCGCCCCGGCGCTCCGGGGGCCCGCTGCGGGGGGCCGCTGGGAGTCGCAGCCGCGTGTGCCGCATGAGGATCCTCACGCCAGAGCCCAAGGGAGGAAACTTGGGAGCTTGCCCATTATCCTCCGCTTCTAGCCAGAGTTAAACAGACTGATGGGTCTGGTAGCCAACCGCTTGGCAACTCCCACTCCTTCTCACCTCGTGAGATTCGGGGCTGTGAAGAGAAATCTAGTCTGACTGCAACAGAAATCTGTCTCTGCGAAGTGTGGTACCTTCTGTGAGCGACGGTGGCAGAGCCAAGATCTTTCTCTTGGTAATTTCCCTGGCTATAAAGTGAGACCGTTACCTTTCTAGAGAATTCATCGCGTTTGAGGATCTGGGACCGGGGTGACACGCGGGAGCGGCTCTGAGGCGCGGCGGGCTCCGGCGCGCGGCTTCACCTCGGGCCGCGGGACGAACTCGGAAGCGGAACTGCCGCGGGCCCGCCGGAGAGCGGAAGTTGGAAGCCACGGCGTGCGCGACCCGCCCCTTTGTCTTCCTCTCGCGGGCATTTCTTTCTCTCCCAGGTTTTTTTTTTTTTTTTTTGAAGAATAACGTTTGTGAAAAGCATGTTTTTTCACCAAGAGCAGAGAGAGGTGAAACCAGAGGGCTCGCAGACCTCCAGCCCCTCCGACACGCGGTGCTGTCGCCGACCAGTCCGGGCGGGAAGACGGCGCCCCCGTGAGCGGCCCGGCGGGGGCACAGCCACGGGCTTCTAGCGCCTCTGCTTCTGGGCGGGGACAGCTGCGTCACCAGGCGAGCCTGTCCTGCTGTCCTTACCGCCCGCCCCCCCCCCCCCCCCGCCTTCACAGACATGCTTGCGCTTCAAGGAAGAAGGTCTTACTCTTGCAAGGCCCGCAGCAGTCCGCTGTAGGGGAGCGTGGACACCGGCCTCGCCGAGGTCCCTTGCTGTGACACTCTGAAGCTGCCGTCAGGTGTCAGGTCCAGAAAATCAAGAGAATTCTGCGTAGAACAGCCGTTCAGACAGACTGGGAGAGCCGTGCAATGAACCTCCGAGGCTCCTGCTCTTAAGGCTCAGGGCCGGGTCCCTCACGGCAGGGCTGAACCCCGGGCTGGCTGGCTTCTGGGGTCAGCGTCCCCGACAGCGCCATTGGAAGGGCTCGGACCACTCAGCTCAGCCGTCTTGTTTTAGGCTGAGCCTAGCACGGCTCCCCACACAGACACGGGGATCGTTTGTTGCACTGCGTTCTGGACTTGGGCCCCAGGGAGCTCGTGCACAGCTTGGGACAAGTGACCTCGGTGATATAACAAGGTAGGCCGGTAGTGACCTGTCGTGCGCATCCCTCACCCCAACCATCTGATGTTTTTTGCTTTTGGATAAACACTGAAGCTTCGAAAGCCCCGGCGGGGCCTGGGCCGTGTTGCTGCCGTCTACCTGTAGGCGGGAGTTCGTTATGTTCTGGTCTCTTTACCCATACAGGTGTGTGGCAAGGCGGGGAAGAAAGAAGAACTTGGTTTCCCTGCGACATAAGCTAATGTGTTGGTGCTGTTTTCCTTCCCATGTGACCTTTGTCCAGAAATGCCCTTCCCCAAGGCTGTGTAGAGGGGAACTCTGCTGAGACAGTGATTGTCCCAGTCACCTGCCCGGCTGCTTGGCACGGACCTGTGAGAAAGTGTATTTTATCCTTTTCTTTTTTTTTTTTTTTTAAGGCTAGGAGTTCTTGAACCCAGAAGCCACTCGATTATCCAGGGGGTGTTAGAAATAAGACCCCCAGCCTCACTGTTCGCTGAGCTCTTGGACCTTGTTGTGTAGCTCGGTGTCAGCCCGACGCGCCACACAGGCCAGGCTTTCCATCAGCCCTGGGCTGAGACCACGTTAACCATTGTTCTTTCTGCTCCGCAGAAAGTGGGTTTTAGCTGAGACCCTGCTCCAGGCTGGAAATCGCAACCCTGTAGGTGAAGTCTGCCCTGGGAGAGGCAGACGTCCTAGTCCTCGGGAAAAGAAAGTATCCGTGCGGGGTGAGGACAGGCCAGCCAGGTGCCTCCCAGTTGAATAAGTTACTGGAACTTGCTTGTAAGCTTGATGTGCTTCCGTCCTAGGTTGACCCAGGCTGGGAGAATGCCCGGGTGCGGGTGGCCTGGAAACCAGGAAAGGGCCAAAGACAGCAAGCTGTAAATGATTGTGGATTCGTTTTTTTTTTAAGTGGAAAAATACGCTTTCACTAGCTCATATGCAATCAGAAATTAGTGTAATGAAAAAATGAAATGTGTAATACCTGGCAGTACTCAGTCAGATTAAACCATGGAATCTTCTTTTGAAAGATAAATAACCTACAGTGTTTCATTTTTAAATAACTAGAAGGTACAAACTAAAGAAGTGAGATCAAAGATTAGAATTGCAGATGCCCAGGTGACTTCCAGGTGGTGCCCCCCATTCCCCTGCTAGTCCCCATGAGAAGAGCCCGGTGGTCCTGGTGCCAGTCGACACTCCTCACCACAGGTAGATGCGTCTTGCTTTTTCTACAGGCCGGGTCTCCAAGTGCGGTGTGGGACCAACCTCAGCAGCCATCGCCCAGGAGCTTGCTAGAAATGCAGGTTCTCAGGCACCCCTCCCTGGCCCTGCTGTATCACAGGCTCTGGGGCATTCACAAGCCCTCCAAGGGGGTTCTGACGCCCAGTCTAGTTTCAGAATCACTGCTACTGCATCGTGGAATTTAGGCTACAGTAAACCATCCCTGCATAATAAAACCTCTTCTGCAGCTTTGTGCGTAATTCTGACATTAAACAAACTGATGACATTACACACTTGAAAACTTTTTAAAAATACTGTGTAAGAAAAATCTCAACTAGCCGTCTTTCAAAGTGGTATTTTTACACCCTGGAGTCTATCAGTAATGTTTCTTACTTCTGCTCTTGAAATCATGTTACAGCTGTACAAAGAATACTACTGTTCAGTATTAAAAGAGAAATGGAAAGACCATGACCTTTGTCTTGGGCTGTTGTTTTGTTTGTTCTTGTCTTTGTTTTGTTGGGTTTTGTCTCTGTTTTTATTTCCTTTCATACCTACACACAGCACCCCCCTTCTGCCCCCATTAATAAACACAGACATATGCATACGCCTGGGGCTGGGAAAGTGTGTGGCTGTTGGAAGGTCTGAATTACAAATTGTGATTTCCTTGGCTGGACAAGTCACATGAATTATGAAACCCCCAAATAACCACACTGTATATTCAAAATGTCATACAGCACAGTTTCAGTTGGGACAAGGAGTGTGGGGAGTAGAGAAGCAAGACCTGAGTCTTATTTCCCCCTCACCGAAGTGTTGGCCAACAACAATATGGGCCATCCCAGTTGGCAGTTGACAGAACCTGCCTTCAGTTCTGTGTGGGGACAAGGTCACGAGGCTACATGAGTGCCTTAAGGACACAGACCTTCATCATTCCATCTGTCATCATCATCCTCACTCCTATTAACCAAACACCTTCCGTGTGCCTGGCACCGTTCTAGGTATTCTCTGTCTGCAGAGACTTAAAACAGCTGCATGAAATAGTGAGGTTTCCTCATCTAATAACCATCTCAGGTGCCGAAACTGGGACACAAGTAATTTCTCAAGGTCACACAGCTGATGAGAGGCAGAGCCACTTACCGTGCCCCCAGCACTGAGCACAGAAATTGGGACATCAGCGCTTCATGAGTCTTTTGACTTCCCCCAAAGGTAACTGTGAGGAGGGTTGACGCAAACCAACCTATAACCAGCCATGTTAGGGAAATGACTTATTTTGAGAGTTCTAGTTAATAGTTGAGGAGGATGGGATTTAGGAGGAAGACATGGTTATATGTGCCCCTAATGAAAGCAACTCATCCCCCCACCCCAGCCCGAGGAAACGTGGACTGTGGTGTGGACAAGGGGGAAAAGCAACACCACCCCCCAAGGCTGAGGGCTCTGGACCGACCAGCACCTTGACTGCACTGTTGGCTTTGCTGTGCAGCGAAAGAGTGATTTGCTGTCTTTCAAAAGGTCCCCACTGGCTACAGATCTTACGTAAAATTCTGAAAATACAAGACAAGACATGAGGCAAAAATTAAACTCATAGGAAGGGAAGGCCATGCTGCCATAATGTCGCACCATCCAAGAGAACATAGTTCAGATCCATAAACCTTGATCCGTGGCACGTCTGAGGTGTCACTTGTCTGGAAACACCTCCCCGAGTGACACTGATGACAGAATATTATTGACCCTCCGTTTGGTGCAGATGCAGGCAGGGTCTGAGCACAGATATCCCCACAAACCTGTCTCCCAGCAGGGGATGGGTTCCAGAAGCTTGGATGTGAGAAATCCAGATCCAACCTTTCTGACCTCTGTGATGGCATTCCCTTTCTCCACCACACCATCAGACGCGTCCTGTCTGCTTTCACAGAGGTCCACACAAGGATTGGTCACCCTCTGGGAAGGATCATCAACTCCTAGAAAAAAGTTTCTCAAATTTTATATTGAATTAGCAGCTGAAATTCTAACCAACATTTGATGAGAATCTGATGGGTTGGCAGAAGGCATCTGGGATGCGGTGAGGAGTGAAATTTATGTCTTTATTTAATTCCCACAACCCTGCGAAGGAAAACCTGTCGAGGCCCACTTTATACCTGAAAAAAGGTACGAAACAATTAAGAATTTGCCCCAGGGTTCCAAGAGGAAGTGGTAGTCAGGATGAGAACCCAGGTCTGACCGGACCCTTAAGAGGCCAACCTCCATTCAGACAAAAAAGGCACCATTCAGATCTGAGGGGAGGCAAGCATCTCGGGAAGGCGTCTTTCTGACCTGAGAAGAGGTAGAGGCGAGGACAAGGACTCAAAAAAGCTGTAGTATGAGTCCATGGTGGGTTAAAGCTCTGAACCAGAAGTACTGGAGCTGAAACCTCGACACCGGGTGCCCTGGCTTGACCATGTCTCTGACCCTATGCGCCCGCCGTGCAGTCCACAAAGTCTACTCGTCAAGGACCTCAAGCAGGTTAGCCTTGCTGATAAAATGTTTCAGAGCTCTTATCTGGCTGGAAATGTGCAAAAAGTAAGTGAGCCAAACTCATTAATGAACTCAGAAAAGCCTGGAGACGCGATCGCAGGCGCCCGGGGGGAGAAGCAGCGTTGTGGCATCCGAACGCCGCTGCGAGCGCCCGTGGCTGCCAGCATTCCTTGCTCCTGAGGTAACACCACAGCTCAGATGGAGGCCAGTGAGCCCACGGCGGGCTCTTCTGGGAAGCCTCTCTGCTTACCAGGTGGAGCGGGGCCTCCTGCCTGGGGCTTCCATTGTAGCCCTTAGCACACTGGTTTGTCTCTGCAGCTGTGGCTGTCTCCACCCCAGGGACACGGGCATCCCAAGGGCAGGGCAGGCCTCTCTCCAGCACCTGGCACCTGGCCAGACCCCTAATGTCAGCCCCACACTGTGAGTCGGGGCCTGAGCCCAGATTGCAGAAGGACAAGACAAAGGCAGGCCCAGCGGGCAGCCAGGCAGCCACAGGAGAGCCCCGGATGTCCTCCAGGCCTGGCAGGACAGCTGTTGAAGCTTGGCTCCGTGGGCAGAGACTCGGAGCCAACGCCGGCAGCCCCTTCCTCGGGGCCCAGGACTCCGACCTGGCCAAGCCCACAGCCCGAGAAAGCTGGGCAGAGCTCCTTGCCA